CTTACTACTACTACTACACTAGTAGTACTACTACGACTCCGACTCCGACTCCGACTACTACTACTACTACTACTACTACTACTACTACTACTACTACTACTACTACTACTACTACTACTACTATGCCTACGACGACTACTGCTACTACGACTGCGACTACGACTACGACTACGACTACGACTACGACTACGACTACGACTACGACTACTACTACTACTACTACTACTACTACTACTACTACTACTACTACTACTCGCCTCCGCCTCCGCCTCCGCCTTCGCCTCCGCCTCCTTCTCCTCCTCCTCCTCCTCCTCCTCCTCTTCCTCCCCATACATTTCGACCCGTACCGTAAGGATTCGCGGTAAGGGTGCGAGGGCCTTGGAAGGCCATGTCGAAGCTTTTCGAGCGGGACGCGGCCAACTAAAGTGTCGAAGGATGGACCGAGGAAGCAAGGATGCGAGGGTACCCTTGGGAAAATTGTCCATCCTTGCTCTGCGGGGTGACTGCACGCCAACGATCACCATTACGTTGCTCTGAATAATCCCGCCTGGTCCCTCCGGGATGCACCACCGAACCGCTCACAGGGCTCGCGTTTCACAGTGATCAGAAAAGGGAGAGGGGCAGTGGACCATGGCGAGGACGCATGCCCACCACCCAACTAGACAGCTCAAGACGAACCACGCTGTCGTTGGGTAACGTCGCAGGTATATTCCGCGAAGCGGGGAGGAAGGAAGAGAAGGTGAGGAAGAAGAGAAAGGAAGGAGGAGAAGGAGGAGGAGGAGGAGGAGTGCGTGCGTGGCGAACGTTTTCTTTTTTCGGCGTTTCGACAGTGGGTGGGGGGTGGCAGGAGGGGGGGCGTGTCTGGCTCCAGACCTCTGCTTTAGGCGACTGTTTGCAGCAGTGCGTTCTTTGGGGGACTCCACTGCTCGAAACAGGCGACAAAAACAGACATGATCTACTCCATGGGGGAGGGGGGGGTGCGAGGGCCCGCGCCGATCGGCAACACAATGAATAAGAAAACGATCACGTGTGGTTGTGTGTGCACACTGTCTCTGCTGCGTGTCATGCTGGGGGCCTCGCGAAGAACTGCTGGGCCCCCGCGGGCTGCCTTCAGAACGCACCAGGGCTGCACTGAACCGTCTCGGGCTCGACGGGCGTTCTGGGGGCCTCTTGCGCAGCTCCTGCAGGCCGCCACCGCCTTTTGGGTGGCGCGCAAGGGGGTCCAGCTGAAAGGGGGTGATGAATTGATTTGGGCCCGTCGCATTGCAAGTGTACTGCGCCGGAGACTTGTATTGCATTGTATTGCGAGTAATGTACTGCACGCGAAAATGCAGCAATACATCTGCGCCCCGGACTGCACTGCACGCCCCAGATCTAGTGCAACCCACACATCTACTGCAGCATCCCCTCGTCGCTGGACCCCTTCTGACTACCTACCAGACCACCCCAACCCAACCCGAAGACCCGAATTTGACCCGAATTTCGGGTTGGGAGGGAGTACGGGTTCCATGTGCTTTTTCAATGTTCCCCGACCCCCCCCCCACTGGAATTGAAGGGCAAATTGAGGCCTTCGGGTTAGGTTGGGGTGGTTTGGTAGGCGGTGCCCTTCTGGGTCAACCAGAACCAGAGGAGGAGGAGGAGGAGGAGGAGGAGGAGGAGGAGGAGGAGGAGAAGGAGGAGGAGGAGGATGGGTCAACCAGAACCTGGTGCACTTGGCTCCTGCCGGCCTTGTGCGCCTCCTCCCTGCGGGCGGCAGCGCCGCCCGCGGCGAGAGAGCCGGACCCGCGATGTGGCAGGGGCACGGGCACGAGGAGGCGGCACCTTACGATGGAAGGGGCCCTGGGGCACACAAGTAGACACCAACAGCAGGATTCCCCATATCTTCCCACATGTCCTCGGTTTTTGTCTGCCCCCTAAATGTTTGTTTCCCCCCAACATCCCATACTTGAATTATTTCCGAACATCGGCGATTCATTGTGTCTGTGTGTTTGCTTGTCCCTCCTGAGACATGTAGGATGCCAACCTCACTCCGCCCGCACTTAGAAGAAGAAAAAGGGCATAAACATAAACTTCTGGCGCTCGGAGAGGATTTCTTGGATCTGGCCTGGACCCCCCTCCCTGGCGCGCGGAACGCGCCAGGGGCAGCGCCGGAGGCGCCGCAGGAGGGCCCCAGCGCGGATCCAAGAGATCATGTATGTTTATGCAGTTTATGCTGTTCGCTCACTGCCCTCCTGCATCGCTCTTGCCGCGGCCCGGCGCGCTTCACCCCCCCCACGACGACCGCTTGCTCTTGGAATATACGACTGACCCAGAAGTCCATCACCGCCCCGGTGGGGAAGGCACTGAAGGCCCAGCGGTGGTGTCTGCGGCGCCAGTGGGGGGGGGGGGGGGGCGGGCACACGCCCTAGCAGCGGGTGCCGAAGTACAGGGATCGCGGGGCGAGGAGGGCCCAGGGGCGAGGGATGACGAGGGGCGAGGGGAAGACCAGGGGACGAGAAGGGAGGGCAGGGAAGGGCAACAAAAAACTATAAGCTTTTGACGGTCCGCGCGCAGTTCTTGGATCTGCGCTGGGCCCCCCCTCCCTGGCGCGTGGGGCGCGCGAGAGGCAGCGCCGGAGGCGCCGCCCGGGGCGGCCCAGCGCGGATCCGAGAAATCCGCGCGGAGCGCCAACAGTTTGTCTATGGCGTGTTCTCTTCTTCTCGGCGGTGGACAAACCTCCCTTTAGTAGACCTCCCCTTAGTGAAAACGGTCTGGGACCAAACCGACGGACCTGGACCCGCAAAAACGACGGCCGCCGGCCGCGACGCCCTCTCGCGAACCGAAAACGGCCCATTCCTGAATCGACGTGTCAGGGTGGGGGGTCTGTCCACTTCCGAGGTCTCTTCTCCGAGGCCAAAAGGGAAGGATCGGGTCGGGCGAAAGGCGGGGATAGCAAAGGGGGGGCTTGAGAATCAGCTCACGTAACTGATTTTCCCGGCGCCTCCCGGCGCCGGAGGCGCCCATGTATCGAGGAATGGACCCCTCGGTGGTGCCGGAACCAGCTGCATGCAGCAAATTTTGTAACCCCCCCTTTCCCAATGCCCCCCTTTCGTCCGGCCCGAAAGGGGGCAGAGGGGGGGGGGAGGTGGAGCGGGGGCAGAGGGCCTTGGGCCACGGCAGGGGCGGGGGGGGCAGGTCGAGGTGGCGGCAGAGGCGGGGAGCCGGGCTGGGGGGGGTGGAGGGCTGGAGGGCTGGGGGCTGGAGGGCTGGAGGGCTGGGGAGGGCTGGGGGCTGGAGGGCTGGAGGGCCGTGCCCAGCGTCTGCGGCCGCCCGTCGGGTTTCCACGGAGGAGGCGCTCCCCAGGTGCTGACCGTGTGCCTCGCCTCCTCGGCCCTCCTCCTCCCCTCATCTGCCTCTTCCGGCTTCTCTGCGCTCTGCTGTCGCCCGTTCTTGCCGCTGGGCTCCCTATGCATGGTAAAAGTGTTGCCCCTCAGGCACGCCCCCGCGCACGGCACGCCAGGAGAGGGGCGCCAGTTGGAGCTGGAGCCGGACATGCCGGCCAAACGGGAAGAAGGAGCAGCGACGCCACCACCACCAGGGACCGCCCGTGGGAGGAGCCAGGGGTTGTACCCCCGGTGGTGTTGTCCTCTCCTCGCGCTCGGAATATCCCCGATCTACAGCTCGGAGAGGCATGGACAATAGGTGGTCCGCCTGGTCGGGGCGGTGATGGTGTCGCCTTTCGTCGTACCCCATGACTACTTGCCAGAAGGTCGGTTGCCACATTTGACCCGCAGAACATGTATAGTCAGAACGCCGTGAATATTGACATAATTCCATCTGACCACGGGAGTTCAAACAGACCGTAGGCAAACTGCTGTTACAAAGAGATGATGTCTATGTATGATACTGCGGTAGCCGGACGGAGCACCAACGCAGAAGACCAACAACAGAGAACCATGTGCTCGGCCACCTTGGATTCTTCTTGTGCCAGGGACGCCACGGGCAACTGTGTGTTGTTTCGCTCATGGCAACTCCCCCGATCCATGGCGTACGAGGAACACACAAACCAAAAACCATGGGACGGGCGGATCGCCATCCAGACCTTCCCAATACCTCGGGCCCGTCCAGAACCGCCCTGGAACCGCAGCGCGGTGAAGCACCCTTCGGCACGAACTCGGACAGCGAGCAGCTGCTTTCGTTGCCAATCGCGGCAGCACCCCCTCGGAGGCGCAGAAGCAGAGTGGCTGAAAAACAGCGCGCGCTGGACGAGTCGCACACGGCACGCCGCTCCAGATGCAGATGCCGCATCACCCCCTTCAAAATACATCCTCATAGAACTGCCTGAAGAGGGGGTGGGCGGCCATGGCAATTCCTGCGCTAACCCAGCTTTACACGATGTGAAATCAAGAGCACGCGATTCTGCCCGTCACCACAATGCATCTCGCATCACCTGCCGTGGTCGATACTCGAGCATGTCCATGGCTGCGGCTGTGATTCCAACAACGATTCCGGAATCGACAACGAGAGAAGGCTACAAGCGACACATCAAGTCTCCCCAATCGTACTACGCTTCCCATCTCCAATGCTATGTCATCACCCGACACCTGTCAAACAGAAAGGGGCCTCTTGGCGTTTAGAAAGCCCTCCGGCGTTCTCATCCTGTGGTGCGTGCTCACGTGGATGCGGGCCAGACGGTCGGCACCGATGTCCACGAGGGCATACTGGCAGTCAGGGTGATGATGATGATGACGATGACGATGGTGACGATGACGCCGACGATCACGATGACGATGATGCTGACGACGACGATGACGATGACGATGATGATGGTGGTGATGATGATGCCGATGATGCTGATGATGCTGATGATGATAATGATGGTGATGCTAATGATGATGATGATGATGATGATGATGATGATGATGATGATGATGATGATGATGATGATGATGATGATGATGATGATGACCATGATGATGATGATGGTGTTGGTGGTCGTTGTGATAGCGATGTTGATGCTGATGATGGTGGTGATGATGGTGATGATGCTGATGACGATGATGGTGGTAATGATGATGGTGATGATGACGATGGTGATGATGCTGATGATGATGAGGATGCAGAAGAAAATCATGACACGATGCGGCAATGAGCGAGATCGGGTTGGATCGATCAGGACATCGTGAACAACGGGCACCCGACAGGAGTAAACGCGAGAGGCGGTGCGCACTGCGATAGGGGGCGCTTGCAACAGAACGCGAGGCCACCTCCCGACCTTAGTGGGCCCTGGAAACGACAAGGCCGTTTTTGTACCGGTTCCGTTTTGCCGTGTTTTTGCCGGTTCCGACGCCGTTCTTTCGCCGGTTCTGTCGCCGTTTTTTGACAGGTTCTGGAACCGGTTCCAATCCTGGAGCCGTGTTTTTGCCGTTTCCGGTCGCCGTTGTTTTGCCGTTTCCATTCTCAAGGGGTACTTTTTTTGGAAACAGTGAAAAAAACGGCCCTGCCGTTTCCGGGGCCCACAAGGGTCTGGAGTATTGTCAGACATGGGCCAACAAAAAGCATCCCACAAGAAGATGCCAACTCCGCCGGCGGCCAACACACACACACACACAGAACATGCCAGGGTATACCCTCCCTAGGAGGCCCAAGAGCATCCAACAAGCACGAAAAGCATTAGGGTACACTCCCCGACCCGACCGCGATCTTCTGACTGAGTCCGGTCGATTGTCGACCCATATCCCAGGCTTCGTGGGGTCTTCGAATGGAACAAAACATTTGGGGCGCAACCATGGGATACACGATAAGGGGGGCGTCCATCCTTGATACAGGTGCGTCCGAATAGCCCCCTTTGGGTTTATCCCAAAGTATTCCCCTTGCTCTGAACAACCAGACTTTTCGGGCGGCGCTGGGGGATTGGCGAGAACACTCGCCTGCGATGGAAGGTCCCCGACAAGACGCATTGCAGTGCCCAAGATAGCTCCGATCTGTCCTCGGGGATCCGGAGATGGTCTCCAAGACTGCAACATGGAGCTCAATACGGCGCACGATGGATTCCGACGTGCTCACAGTTGGTCCCAACTGCCGCCACAACAGACCCTCCAGGTGACCTCGGAGCCCGCCAAGATCCACCCCGAGAGCCGAGATCGTTCGAACGCCTTCGGGTGCGATGCATTCGGGCACGAGGAGGAGGGAGGAGGGGGAGAAGGATGAGGAGAATGAGGAGGAGAACCAGTGTAAACTCAAGAGTCATCAACGATGTTGAAATTCACCCTCCCTCCAAGCTCCCTCTTCAGAGGCCCCTACAGCGTTTCATTTACATTGAGAGAACTGCCTCGTTGGAAGACAACTGTTTGAAGACCTTGAAGCATACCAAAACATTGTTCTCGGGATTTCCATGCCACGGATCAACCTGACTGCTGCGTCCTGGCGAGTTGAAACCGTACCAGAAACCATGTGTGGGACTTCAACAACGCGACTCAACATAACTGCTGCACCCGCACAGAATGCAATTCTGGTACGTTGATCCTGGGAAACCGTGGAACTATTGCAACCTTGTCGATCAAATAATAGCCAATAATCTTTATACTGGAAAAATAAAAATAAACAACGAAGGTGCTCGGCGCTAAAGCGAGAACCACATTATGGAAACGAACCGCCCTCGATCCGTGAAACCCTTGCATTTCTGATGAAGAAAAACGAATGTGCGCGGCGCTGAAGCGAGAACCACATTTTGAAAATGGCTCGCCCCCTATCCGTGAAACTCTTGCAGGTTGCTTCATGTATTTCAAAAACGGATGTCCGCGGCGCTGAAACGACAACCACAATTTGAAATCAACCCGCCCTCAATGTGTTTAAACAAATTCGATCGGCGCCCAATCGAGAACCACATTTCGAAAACCACCCGCCCTGGATCCGTGAAGCTCTTGCAATTAAAAAAAACACATGTGCGCGGCGCTCAGTCGAGAGCCACATGTTGAAAACCACCCGCCCTCAATCTGTGACGCTCTTGCAAATGTTTAAAACGAATGTGCGCGGCGCTGAGGAGAGCCAGATGTTGAAAACCACCCGCCCTCCATCTGTGAATATGCTGCCTTTTTCAAACTTCACAATCAGAACTGGTGAGGAATTCTCAGGCGAAACGCCCGGCCCGCCCTAAAAAGTGGCCTCGGGGTGCGACACGGAGAAGATATGTATAAGGAAAAGGAATGGCGGAGGAGGGGAAGGGGGAGGGGGAGGGGGGAGGGGGAGGAGAAGGAGAAGGAGGAGGAGAGAGAGGAGGAGGAGGAGGAGGAGGAGAACGGGGGGGAGGAGGAGGAGGAGGAGAGGAGGAGGAGGAGGAGGAAGAGGAGGGAGGAGGAGGAGAAGGAGGAGGAGGAGGAGGAGGAGGAGGAGGAGGAGAAGGAAGGGGAGGAAGAGAAGGAGGAGGGAGGAGGAAAAGGAGGAGGAGGAGGAGGAGGAGGGAGGGGAGGGAGGAGGAGGAGGAGGAGAAGGAAGGGGAGGAAGAGAAGGAGGAGGGAGGAGGAAAAGGAGGAGGAGGAGGAGGAGGAGGAGGGAGGAGGAGAAGAAGGAGGAGAAATGGGAGGAGGAGGATACATGCCTTCTCGCCGATGCACGTCCCATGGGCCTTTGGCGCCATATGGGGGCCAGAGAGGCTCAGAATCGGCCCTCGGAGCGCTGCGAAAAGCCCTCCGACCAGGGTGAGCAAAGTAACGCCGCCACGGAAACACAATTTTTTGCGCGCGGATTTCTTGGATCTGCGCTGGCGCCCTCCCTGTCGCGCGGAGCGCGACAGGGGCGGCGCCGCAGGCGCCGCCTGAGGGGGCCCCAGCGCGGATCCAAGAAAAAAGCGCGGAGCGCATGGCGTTTTGTTCTGCTTCGAAAGGTGGCCGCAAGAAAGCTCCCCAGGCCCCAAAGAGGATCCCCAGAGGGCCCAGGCTCCTACAGAATGGCTCCAGGTTGCCTCCAAGAGGCAAATTCTGTTCGAAAGCTTGTTGTGCATAACTTCAGAATGTATGCGGACTCCAATTATCAAGGCAACTTGCCTGAAGATCGTTTCCAGATGGCTTGGTGGGGATGCGCGAAACGTCGAGGATTGACAGCTAAGGGGAGGGTCACATACGCCAAAGCAAGCAACATGACCGATCAACGAACCAGGGGTGCATCCCCAAGGAACGAGGAGGGCATCGTCAAGGAAAATGGGGGAGTCCTTCCAGAACCTGGCCTCGATGCACGATCGGCGCATGCCCGATCCAAGAAATGAGGTCTGGAACCAGATGGGACGACACAGTTGGAGGGCGACTTGCTTACCAATGAACTTGCATATAAAAAAGGCTCACACCGTGCATCCCCCATCATCACTACATAAACTCCTTCGGTGTGAAACCTGATATGATTACCTTGGCGAATGAACTTCGCCGGAACGGGCCAAACCCACAATCACAACGCAAGGCCCAAGAGCTGCAACAAGTAAGCTTCACATCTGCGAGCGGCAGAAGGAACGATACGCAACGCCATCGCAACTCTGCGCACAACTTCTGCGAGGGAAGACGAATTGAAGCCGTTTGCGCGGACGTCTCCTGGTGCCAAGTTCTGCGCACGATGCCCCTGACCTTCATGCCGGCCTCCCGAAAATCCATTGAGCAAAAATTGAACAGGCATGAACGGAATGTCCCTCTTTCCCCTTCCCTCTCGAAGGTGATGCTACTACACCCCTTCTATGCATCTTCGCCCTCATGCGGCTCGCTCCACCCCGAACTCGCTGCTCTCCATCTTCCGTCCCCCGCTTCCGTCCTTACCATCCCGACTGGGCCGCGCCACTTTTCAGTTCACTCCCTACGTTTCTGACAGCAGTGCGTGTATGCGCCTCCTTATTGCCAGGGGTTACCATTGCCGAGCAGTCAAAACCCGTCGTGTTTCCTCGTCCTAATGCTGCCATGTTCGAGACTGCGCCTAATCGAACGGTGTGAATTGACAGCAACCCACACGTTGCCCGATCCTTCTGTTTGTGCTTCTTCCCCGGAAAGGGCGGGAGCCCGGGGTTCTCTTGCGTGTGGTAGATTGTCCCCGGTGTCAAGGTCGAAGAGGGCCGGTGGAATCTTTCCCTGATCAATAACCAAGTCGAAGAGGATTCAGATTTGAGGATGTCCCGAGCGAAACGCTGGTGCTTGAAATTCCGATCGATGAAACAAGAGGATCGGATCAAGTAAGCGTTTTCGTTTAATGCGGATGCCTCGAGCGAAACAGTTGGTTCGCATACTTTGTTGAGAATGTCTCTAGCGGAACGCTTACGTTTTGCTCTAGATCGTTCCTCCTGAGGACCAGAACTCAGAGGATGCCTCAGGTGAAATGCTTGTTTTCGCGTGCCCAGGTCTGAGAATGTCTCGAGCGAGACGCTTGGATTCACACCTCCAGGATGACCAGGCAGATGTTTAGCATCAGGATTTGTTGAGGATGTCTCCAGCGAGACGCTTGTTTTCAAGCGTTCAGGTCGTCCAGGCGAATGTCTAGCAGCAGCATAAGGATCTCTTAAGGATGTCTCGAGAAAGGCGCTTGATTTCACGTGTCCAGGTCGCCTAGGCAAATGTCTAGCGTCTGGCATGAGAATGTATTGAGGATGTGTTGAGCGAAACGCTCATTTTCACGTGTCCAGGTCGCCCAGGCGGATGTCTAGCATGAGAATTTGTTGAGGATGTCCTCGAAAGAGAGAAAGACGCTTGTTCCCGAAAAAGGCATGAGCCTGGGTTCTCTTTTAGATGGTTTCCCCACGGCCTTGACTTGAAGAGGGCCGGCGAACTCAATCTGCGAAAAATAACAAAGTCGAAGAGGGCCAGCTCATTGTAAGTTGAGAATGTCCCGAGCGAAAAGCTGTGCTTTGGAATTCCGATTGATAAAACGCATGGAGGAGTAAGCATTTTCGTTTGTTGCGGATGTCTCGAACGAAACGCTTGGTTTGCATCATGTGTTGAGGATATCTCTACGAAACGCCGAAGGATGCTCCAGGGGGCCCTGGGAGCGCAGACGCAGTGTAATTTGCAAGGGATCGTGGCCCTGGGCGCGTGGACACAGCTTAGTTAACCACGGATCGCGGCCAAGGGAAAGCGGACGCAGTGTAGTTTACAAGGGATCGTGGTCCTGGAAGCGCGGACGCAGCGTAATCTATAAAGGATCGTCGCCCTGGGAGCGCGAACGCAATGTAATTCACCATGAGTCGTGGCCCTGGGAGCGCGGACGCAGTGTAACTTACAACGGATCGTGGACCTTGGGGGGCGGACACAATGTAATTTGCCAGGAACGTGGCCCTTGGAGCGCGGACACCACGTAATTCACGAGGGCCCTGGAACCGCGGACGCAGCGTAGTTTACGAGGGATCGTGTCCCAAGGAAAACGGACGCAGCGTAATTTTCCAGGGATCGTGGCCCTGGAAGCGCGAACACTATGTAATTGAGCATGACTCGTAGCCCTGGGAGCGCGGACGCAGTTAATTTATTATGGATCGTGGCTCTTGAAGAGCGGGCACAGCGTAATTCGCGAGGGAGCGCGGCCATGGGACCGCGGACGCTGCGTAATTCACAAGGGATCGTGACCCAGGGGAAGCGGGCGCAGTGTAATTTACAAAGGATCGTGGCCCTGGAAGCGCGGACGCAGTGCAATTTACGAGGGGTCGTTGCCCTGGGAGCGCGGACGCAGCGTAATGTACGACGGATCCTGGCCCTGGGACTGCGGACGCATTGTACTTTACGAGGGGCCCTGGCCCTGGGTCAGGGACGTCCCGCGGCACGTCTCCTGGCGCGTTCCCTGGCGCGTCGCCTGCCGCGTTCCCTGGCACGTCCCGTGGCGCGCCCCATGGCGAGTCCCCCTGGTACGTCGCGCGGCGCGTCCCCCGGCACGTACATTGGCATGTCCGTAGCGCGTCCCGTTGGCCCGTCCCGCAATGCGTCCCCAGGGCACGCCCCCTGGCACGACACCTGGCGCGTCCCTTGGGACATTGCGCGGCGCGTCCCCCTGGCATGTCCCCCTGTCAATTAACTCTGGGGCAGCTACTATGTGCGCAGGCAGCTCAAGCTTAAGATCCAAATCAGTTCGGTCAGAATTCGGATGCCAAGGGGGACTCGATCCACAACGTGTAAAGCACAATCGCGGCATGGCACATTGCAATTCAGCACGGCGAAAAACAGCGCAGCCCTTGGCACAGTACGTCAAGATCAACACACTCAGCATTGCAACCTGCCACATTCCCTGTCACGTTCCGTGGCGTGTTCCATGGCGATCCCCCCTGGCACGTCGCGCGGCTCGTCCCCTGACCCCTAGCGCGTCTCGTGGCACGTCCATTGGCAAATTCCCATGGCACATACCCTGGCACGACTCCTGGCGCGTCCCATGAGACGCTCCGCGGCGCATCCCCCTGGCGTCTCCCTGTCAATTAGTTCTGAGGCAGCCACTATGTGCTCAGGCAGCTCTAGCTAAAGATCCAGATCACTTCGGTTCAGGACTCGGATGCCAAGGGAATCTTGAGCCACAACGTGTAAAGCACAATCGCGGCATGGCACATCGCAATCAAGCACGGTGCAGCACAGCTCAGCCTTTTGCACGATACGTCCAGATCGATGCTCTCAGCATTGCACATGCCCGGCGCCCAATCGAAAATCTTGAACACGTTGCCATGCCTTGCGTTTCTAAATTCCGTTCCGGATTCGTGGGTCGATCCTGTTTTACGTGTCGAGTTCGCACAGGCAGACTTCTAGCATGATGATATGTTGAGAATGTCTCGAGCGAGACGATTGCTTTGAAGTGTCCATGACGCCCAGGCGGATGTCTAGCATAAGGATGTGTTGAGGATGTGTTGAGCGAAACTCTTGTTTTCACGTGTCCAGGTCGCCCAAGCGGATGTCTAACATGAAGATGTTTAGAGGATGTCTCGGGCGAACCGCTCTCCAGGTCGCCCAGGCGGTTGAGGATGTGTCAAGCGAGACGCTCGTTTTCACGTATGCAGGTCGGCCAGGCGGGTGTCCGGCATGAGAAGGTGTTGAGAATGTGTCGAGCAAGACGCTAGGTTTCACGTGTCCAGGTCGCCCAGGCGGATGTCTAACATGAGGATGTGGTGAGGGTGTCTCGAGCGAAACGCTTGTCGCAGTAGAGTGCGTCGCAGTCCAACGCCGCCCGTCCGTGGCGTCCCCTGGCGCCCTGGCGCGTCCCTTGCGACGTGCAGGCGTGACGTGCCCTGGCACGTGCCCTAGCACGCCACTCGGCGTGGCACGGCCCTAGCTGGTCCTCTGTCGCGTTTCCTTGCTCGTCCCATGCGTTTCCGTGGCTGGTCCTTTGCAACGTCCCTTGACCTGATGCCCTCTGGCCGCCACGTAACATGCGCTTTGGTACGTCCCGCGGCAGGTCCCTGAGACGTCCGGGGCACGTCCCCTGGTGCGTCCCCTGACACGTTCCCTCACACAACCCCTGTTGCGCCCCTGGCACTTCCTGTGGCGCGTCCGTGAGCCTGTGCCCCATGTCGTGTCGTTTCTTTTCGGAGCTGAGTCTGATTTTTGAGGTCGAGTTGATTGAACGTCCTCCACGTTTTCACTTCAACGAACTCTGGGGCGGCTACTATGTGCTCAGATAGCTCGAGCTCAAGATCCAGATCAGTTCGGTTCAGGACTCGATGCAAAGGGGGACTCGACCTACAGCGCTATGGAGCAGAATCTCGGCATGGCACATCGCAATTCAGCACGGCACAACACAGCAAGGCCCTGGGCACAGTACACCAAGACCGATACACTGAACATTGCAATTGCCTGTCGGTTAACCAGGAGTCTTGAAAGCGTTGCCATGCCTCACATTTCCATCTGCCTTTCTGGGTTCGTGGGTCGATCGTGTGTCTTGATGTCTTTCGTTATGTTTATGTTTATGTTTCTCTCTCTCGCTCTCACTCTCCCTCCAGGAATAAGAGCATCATCCATGCTAGAACCGCGCGCGCGCTTCGGCGCTTAGGTTCTAGCACGGTCCAGTCTTCGACCACGTCATACCTGCATGCGATGGCGCATCCATAACAGGCGTCAGCATGGGCTGCACAGGTAAGAAACACGCGGACCAAACAGATACTGGCCTCTTGGGATATGTTGGCACTTCCACCTGGTAGCCGCACGGCGCTTGTTATCCCCTGCGCTGGGAAACGTATCCCCCAACGCCCTGGTGATATTCGCGGTCCTCCTCCTCTTGCGTGTTGGCAACAACGCCTCATGCCCATGAAACAAATACCAAAGCAACACATCACCCCACCAGCTCGTTAGGCTGTGAGTGGTTTCAGCGAATGTCCTCTGTCAACCCCGTGCGCATGCAATCGCGCCTGCAGCCCGAAAATCCTTCAGTGCACTGGCCCAAAATAATGTCCTTAACGCCCAATGACCACCCAAGGAGGCTCCAACAGGCAAACATCCTTGATTCCAAGCACCAGGGACGCCCGATCCAAGACTTCAAGCGCATCCCAAAAAGATGATCCCAGAGACCGTCAGCATGCCACGACGAGGCCCAGAAGAGGCCCACACCGACCCAAAAAACGATCCGAGCATCCAATGGGCGAAATGTATGCGAAGGCCTTGGTTGATGGGTGACCTCTAAATTCATGGTGCGACACCCTGAATAAATGCCGCTCGCTTGGCGGTCGCTTCTGGGTGGGATGGTGGAGATAGGCTCGCACGCTTTCCCTGGGCTTCGGGCATCGCTCTGCCTGCTTTGGGGGCAATCTTCGCCGTGTGCTCGGGGTCGTCAAAGAAGTTTTCCCTTGGAGATCATACTCCACGCGGGGCTCCTTGGGCACCCTGGCAGAGAGTTGCTGGACAACACATTCATGGGACCCACCATGGCGTGCGCGTGCTGGAACTGCACCGTGAAATGTGCGCGTGTCCCCCCGTGAATCGACATGTTGGTGTCGCTCGCCTTGAACGCCGCAGTCCGCCATGACAAAGACGGGGACGACCGCAGTTGCCACATGACGAGTGGCGCCACCCTTGGAATGCAAGGACAACGACGTCGTCGGCGCATGCATGTACTGGAGCGACATCGCATAATTCCCCTGGCGAAAGATCCAACCATATGCAGTTGTAAGTAACGCGTTGTGCGTGCCGCTTGCGGTAGAGCTTCCCATAGGGCCACGAAACGCGTGAGGGACGTGCCGTAATGAGTGGGGGAGTCGCATGCGGGCGGTGCCACTGGGGCCACGAGACGCTGAACTGGGCGTGGCGGACGCAGGCGGGCGGTGCCCTTCGCTGAAGCTCCCGATGAGGTCACGAAGCGCTGTACTGGTTGGGGGAGACGCACGCGGGCTGTGCCAAAGGGGTCTTTCTGTGGAGCTCCCTCCGGGGCCACGAAACGCTGTACTGGGTAGTGGCCGACGCATGCGTGCCAATGGGGGCTTCGGTGGGGCCCCCGTGGGCCACGAAAAGCTGTAGCGGGAGGGGGGGACGCATGCGGGCGGTGCCACTGGGGCCTTCGGTAGAGCTCCCTATGGGCCCACGAAACGGTGTACCAGGTGGGGCGTCGCATGAGGGCGGACCACTGGAGCTCCCTACGGGGCTACGAAACGCTTCACCGGGTGGGGGGGGCGCATGCGGGCGGCAACACTGGGGCCTGGTGGAGCTACCAATCGATGGGGCCACGACATACAGTACTGGGTGGTGGACGACGCACCGGGCGGTGCAAATGGGGTCTTTCTGTGGAGCATCCTATGGGGCCACGAAACGATGTACTGGCTGGTGGCTGACGCATTCGGGCGGTCCCACTGGGACCATCGGCGGAGTTCCCTATGGGGCCACGAAGCGCTGTACTGGGTGGTGGCTGACGCATGCGGGCGGTCCCACCGGGACCATCGGCGGAGTTCCCTATGGGGCCACGAAGCGCTGTACTGGGGGGTAGCTGACGCATGCGGACGGTCTCACTGGGACTTTCGGTGGGGCCCCCTATGGGGCCATGAAACGCTGCACTGGGTGGTGGCTGACGCACGCGAGCGATGCCAGTAGGGCCCGGGCCTCCCGATGGGGCCACGAAATGTGTACTGGGTGGGTGAAGCGCTAGGAGCAAGGGCTGTGCTGGGCTGGGTGGTGGTGAAAGCTGTGGGTGGCCCCACTGGGACCTTCGGTGGAGCCCCCCATGGGGCCACGAAACGCTGTACAAAGTTGGCGAAACGCAAGGTAATCGGGCGGTGCTGGGTGGTGGTTGACACATGCGGGCGGTCCCACTGGGACCTTCGGTGGAGCTCCCTATGGGGCCACGTAGCGCTGTACTAAGTGGGTGAAGCGCGGGGAGGAAGGGCTGTGGTGGGTGGTGGTTGACGCATGCGGGCGGTCCCACAAGGGCATTCGGTGAAGCTCCCTATGGGGCCACGAAGCGCTGTACCGGGTGGGTGAAGCGCAAGGAGAAAGAGCTGTGCTGGGTGGTGGTTGACGCACGCGGGCTGTCCAAGTGGGACATTCGGTGGAGCTCCCTACGGGGCCACGAAGCGCTGTACTAAGTGGGTAAAACGCAGAGAGGAAAGGCTGTGCTGGGTGGTGGCTGCCGCATGCGGGCGGTCCCACTGGGACATTCGGTGGAGCTCCCTATGGGGCCACGAAGCGCTGTACTGGTTGGGTGAACGCAGGGAGTAAGGGCTGTGCTGGGTGGTGGCTGCCGCATGCGGGCGGTCCCACTGGGACCTTCGGTGGAGCTCCCTATGGGGCTACGATGCGCTGTACTGGGTGGGTGAAACGCATGGAGCAAGGGCTGTGCTGGGTGGTGGCTGCCGCATGCGGGCGGTCCCACTGGGACCTTCGGTGGAGTTCCCTATGGGGCCACGAAACGCTGACCTGGGTGAGTGACACGCATGGAACAAGGGCTGTGCTGGGTGGTGGCTGACGCACGCGGGCGGTCCCACTGGGACCTTCGGTGGAGCTCCCTATGGGGCCACGAAGCGCTGTACGAAATGGGTGAAACGCAGGGAGGGCGGAGGAGGGGCAGGAAGGGAAGGAGGAGGAGGAGGAGAGGAGGGACGCGGGGACCGTCTCTTCAAAACGAGGACCCAACACCACAAGATGGTTGAGGAAAAAGCGCCCAATCAGAATGAGTTGGCTCCGTCAGCCGGAGTGGCTACGATGCCCGTGCTTCTTCCTCATGTTCTCGCTGTTTCTCCCTCCTCCTCCCTGTTCCTCCACTTCCTTCCTCCTTCTACCTCCACGTCCGCCGCAAACCTTCTATCATTCCTCTTCCCCCTCCTCTTCGTGCTACTTCTCCTCCTCCTCCTCCTCCTCATCATCACCATCATCATCAGCAGCATCATCACCATCACCATCACCATCACCATCAGCATCAGCATCAGCATCAGCATCAGCATCAGCATCAGCATCAGCATCATCATCATCATCATCATCATCATCATCATCATCATCATCATCATCATCATCAGCATCAGCATCATCATCATCATCATCATCATCATCATCATCATCATCGTCATCGTCATCATCATCATCAGCATCATCATCATCATCATCATCATCATAAGCATCATAAGCATCAGCATCAGCATCAACATCATCTTTATCAACATCATCAGCATCATCATCATCATCAGCAGCAGCACCAGCATCATCAGCAGCTGCATCATCATCATCATCAACATCAACATCAGCATCGTCATCATCATCATCGTCGTCAGTATCATCATCATCATCACCATCACCATCACCATCACCATCACCATCACCGTCACCACCACCATCACCATCACCATCATAATCAGCATCATCATCATCGTCAGCATCATCATCCTCATCATCATCAGCAGCATCATCATCAGCATCATCATCATCATCATCGTCATCATCATCATCAGCATCATCAGCATCATCATCAGCATCAGCATCAGCACCAGCACCAGCACCAGCACCAGCACCAGCATCAGCATCAGCATCAGCATCAGCATCATCATCATCAGAATCATCATCAGCATCATCATCATCATCATCATCATCTCTCCTTCTGCTCCTACACTCGATCCCCTTCCCAACTCCTCCTCCTCCGCCTCCTCCTCCCCATCGTCCTCCCCCTCGTCCTCGTCCTCGTCCTCCAACTCTTCCTCTTCGTCTTCTGAATATTCCTCCTTTTCCTCCTGCTCCTCATCCTTCTCCTCTTTCTCCTCCATCTTCTCTCCTATACGTTCATCTCTGCCCTGCCCACCGACTTGTGGGTCTCAGGAAGCCTGGACAAACGAATCATCCACGCATCCTGCCACACCCCTCAGTAAATGCTTCAGGCTTTGCAGGCGTCCCCCCCGACCGTGAGGTCACCGATGACGTAAGGCCGAGGGCTGCCAAAGAACAGCGGTGGCAAGTCTTCCGCTTCGCGCATGGAAAGCTCGATCTTGCCCGTGGCCGGGATCACCTCACGCGAGACTCTCAATAATCAAATGGCTCCCATCATGTTCCCTTCGACCTCCCCCACATGATTCATTGTGGTCCTTACCCCCATACAGATCATAATCCTTTGGGCTTCGCAGAAGGAACACCGGCTCCACACGTCCGCTTAAAGCTGGGACATCGTTCACGCAGCATTTACGCTTCAGCTCTGTAGCGCTGTGTACCAAGCCCATTCAGTTGGAATGGCCCTAGGTTGCACAGTTTTTTTTTGATGAGGTGAGTCATGATCGCTGTCCCACCATATCACCGTGTCTGGCCGTAGGGCCTAAGGAGTGGTGCCCCATTCGCAGCCTTCGCACACTGGGCCTTCGGACGGCAACACAGGCGAATTACGCTGACGGACTCGCAGCGGCGGCGTGTCATTGGTACTCCTTTGCCCCCCCCAAGCCGTGTCTTACTCACCGAACGGGCAACGCAGGGAGCCGAGGCTCTGCAGGGGGCGGTCCTCCTCCTCGAGCTCCAGCGCCAAGGAAAACAGTATGACGCGCCAACGGGTCCCTGGGGTACAGTATGACGCGCCAACGTATCCCTGGGGCACCCAGGAATTCTTGTGGGTCATACGGTGCGCAGTAGATGTCGCCATGCAGTGCGCCCGAAGGGGCCCTTGGGCTGCCGAGAGCTCTGGGGTACCATGGGTTGCGCCATAGGCTACACCACGGGTTGCGTCATGGGCTGTTCTGCATGATGTTCACCGTGACTCGCTTTGCCTCGCATTGCGTGACAGAGCTGCGCGTTGCTTGCAGTGCTGTGTTTTGTCATGTGTTGCTTCTCCAAGGCAGCCATATCTGCACAACCTCTGGTTGATACGGCGGGTCAGGGCAACGTGGCCTGGGAGTGACGTGATTAACAAACGAGTGGCGAATGGTATCATACACACCAACGCACCGGTCCTTGTCAATTTGCTTCGTCGGATCGCAATGAAACGTACGCCTGCGTCGGAACACTTAACTGTGTCGATACGCCTCCCATGTCGTCGCAGTGCATATTGATCGGCATCGGGTTGCGTCGCCTTGTAATGTTTCGTGCTGGCAGAACTGTCTTGGTATGCTACCAATTCCTTGCACCAGAGAAAGGGCACGCGTTTGGCGGTAGGGGACATGCCGGACGTCTGGAAATCCGCCGACACAGTTGGCGTGTGTGAGAGGCTCTTCGACGCGACCCCAGCCCAACCCAAACTGAAATAAGTACGCCAGCCTCTTCTGAATGTCGTAATTACGTCGAAGGGAAGCCACTTCCTTGTGTCGCTTCCCCGCCAGGGGGTGGGTTCCCAGTGGGGACGGGGGAGGTCCAGGGGAGGGTCCCTGGAGGGGTGCTGGGGGAGTCTGGGGGGGGTCCTGCATGGGAGGGGTCCATGGGGTCGTGCCAGGGCGGTCCTGGAGAAGGAGAACCAAGACCCCTCTTCTGGCCCCGGCCCCCGCCCTGGAGGCCCCGGCCCTTGGCCTCAACCCCAGGCCCAACCCCGGCCCTGACCCACCTTCGGCCAAGGTCCCGTCCTGGGATCTGGTTCCCGCCCCCGAGGAGACACAGACCGCTTTCCTCCTCCTCATCTTCCTCTTCCTCCCCCTCTTCCTCTTCCTTTTCCTCCTCCTCCTCCACGCCATCCTCCTCCTCCTGAAGCTCTGTCTCTTCCTCCTCCTCCTCCTCCTCGCCCTCCTCCTCCTCCTCCTCCTCCTCCAGCTTCTCCTCCTCCTCCTCCTCCTTCTCTATCTCCTTCTCCTCCTGCTCATCCTCCTGCTGCTCCTCCTCCTCCTCCTCTTCCTCCTCCTCCTCCTCGTGCTCCTCCTCCTCCTCCTCCTCCTCCTCCTGCCGATCCTCATCCTGCTCCTCCTGCCGATCCTCATCCTGCTCCTCTTCCTCCTCTTTCCTCCTCCTCCTCCTCATCCACGCCTTCATCCTCCTCCTCCTCTTCCACCTCCTCCTCCTCCTCGTCGTTGTCCTCCGTCTCTTCCTCCTCCTGCTCCTCGCCCTCCTCCTCCTCCTCCAGTTTCTTCTTCTTCTTCTCCTCATCCTCCTCTTGCTGCTCCTCATCCTCCTCTTCCTCCTCCTCCTCCTTCTGCTCTTCCTCCTCTTCCCCCTCCTCCTGCTCCTCTTCCTTCTCCTCGTCCTCCTTCTCCTCCTCCTCCTCCTCGTCCTTCTCCTCCTGCCGATCCTCATCCTCCTCCTCTTTCTCCTCCTCCTCCTCTCCTTCTCTACGCCACCCTTCTCCTCCTCCTCCTCCGCCTCCTCCTCCTCCTCCTCCTCCTCCTCCTCCTCCTCACTCCTCCCTCCTCCTCCTCCTCCTCCTCCTCCTCCTCCTCCTCCTCCTCCTCCTCCTCTCTCCTCCTCCTCTACCTCCTCCTCTTCCTCCTCCTCTCCTCCTCCTCTCCTCGTCGTGTTTCCTCCTCCTCATCCTCCTCCTCGTCCCCGTCCTCCCCCTCCTCCTCCTCCTCCTCCTCCTTCTCCTCCTCCTGCTCCTCCTCATCCCCCTTTTCCTCCTCGTTCCTCCTCCTCCTCCTGCTCCTCCTCCTCATTCTCCTCGTCCTCCTTCTCCTCCCTCCTCCTCCTCTCTCCCTCGTCCTTCTCCTCCTGCCGATCCTCCTCCTCCTCCTCTTTCCCCTCCTCCTCCTACTCCTTCTCCTCCTCCTTCTCCACGCCACCCTTCTCCTCCTCCTCCTCCTCCTCCTCCTCCTCCACTCCTCCTCCCTCCTCCTCCTCCTCCTCCTCCTCCTCTACCTCCTCCTTCCTCCTCCTCCTCCTCCTCTTCCTCCTCCCCCTCCTCATCATCCTGGTCGTGTTCCTCCTCCTCATCCTCCTCCTCGTCCCCGTCCTCCCCCTCCCCCTCCTCCTCCTCCTCCTCCTCCTCCTCCTCCTCCTGCTCCTCCTCATCCCCCTTTTCCTCCTCGTTCCTCCTCCTCCTCCTGCTCCTCCTCCTCCTGCTCCTCCTCCTCCTGCTCCTCCTCCTCCTCTTCCTCCTCCGACCCCGCCTCCTCATCTTTGAATCCGCAACCCTGGCGCGCACGCAACTTTGAGGTGCGCGTCCGCAGGGCAAAGCGTACCGGCCCGAAGTCCTGGACGCGTAAAAAAAGAAGCGTGCGCCCATCAACAGTTTTTTGGGCACCCAGATGGGGGGCGACGTTCGACCTGGGTGCCAACGACACGGCGCACCCCCCCAGAACGAAGCAGCGACGAAGGGAGGCAGAGGGAGGGGGCAGAGAGGAACAGAAGGTGGAGGCGACGGGGGCCGCAGTCGCGTGATGTGCGCCACCAACCCGCACCGCTGGGCGCCGCGCGTGCCCGCCGGAGACAAGGAGCGGAGGCAACGAGTGCCCACAATGCACTAACACCATATGCACAACAGTGCTTGTATACACGACAGCGCCTGCTTGCACAATTGCGCTCGCGTGCGCCGCAATGCCCGAGTACAAAAAGCAACCCAGTGCACCGCAGCGCTGGTGTACACCACCGCGCCTGCGTGCACAACATTATCCGTGGGAGCTCGGCCTGCGTGCACCCCGATGCCTGCGTGCACCACAACGTGTCTGTACACTACCTGTTGCCGCAACAGTAGCGGCAACAACCGTGTGCCCCACGAGGCCCCCGTATCTGCATGCACCTCTCGGAGCCTCCGGGCCACGTCGGTCGTCGTCGTCTTCGTCCTCCTCCTCCTCCTCCTCATCCCCCTCCTTCTTCCCCTCCTTTCCCTCCTCCTCCTCATCATCATTTTCCTCCTCCACCTCCTCTTCCTTCCTCCTCCTCCTGCCCCTCCTCCTCCTCCTCCTTCTCCTCCTCCTTTTCCTCCTCCTCCTCCTCCTCCTCCTCAATCTCTTCCTCCCCCTCCTCACCTCCGACAGAGCTCTGCCTCCCTCCTCGTCCTCCTCCTCATCACCCTCCTCCTCCTCCTCCTCCTCCTCCTCCTCCTCCTCCTCCTCCTCCTCCTCCTCCTCCTCCTCCTCCTCCTCCCACTCCCCTGCCGCTCCTGCTGCTGCTGCTCCTGCTGCTGCTGCTCCTCCTCCTGTGGGAAATTGCACGCGTTCGCGCCTGTAGCCGGTTTCCCCGCGTCAGCGTTACGTGGGGTGGGGGGGGGTCGGGGAGGGCGGCAACACGAGTTATGCCCAGAAGTAATACAAGAATGGTCTCGCGCCCAACTTGGGGGCGCGTCGGCGGCGCGACGACACCTGTACAAACAGAACCCACGAATCTTGAAAATCAAATAATTCTTTCTGCGGGGGAAACAAAATCGTGGCGAAAATCCGCTTGGGGGGCGCAGCTTCATGACACGTGCGGGAAGGGCGAGGAATGGCGGAGGACGGGACACGACTGCCTTGAAATACAATGCACGCGCTGCCACGCCAGCTGGCAGAGCACGTGCAGAAAGAACGAAGAATGACAATGAACGCGGGGCCAACTGCCTCAATACGAACTGCACGCGCTGTCACGCCGGGTGGCGGAGCATTTGCAGGAAAATCGAGGCAAGACGGAAGAATGAGGGAACGCAGCCTTGATATTGAATGCATGCGCTGTCACGCCAGCTGGCGGGACGCCTGCAAAAACGCCTCCTGGTCGCACAGGCAGGGCCTCAAATTCTATGTTTTTGGCATCATTACTGAAGAGCTTTCGAGCCACCACCAGCTTTCCTTCGGAATTATTCGAGCCTCTTGGGCGGACGCATGCTGGAGATGCGGTCTTATGTGTCTCTGGGGGCCGTTTTAGAACCCTCCCAGGGGGCTTGCATGGTCATCGTGGAAGTCTCTTTGGGCCATTTGCGGCCGGTTTGGGGGCCTCTTGGGCTGTCTTCGGGCCCTCCTAGGGTCGTGCCGAAGCCGTCTTGGGCCCATATGTTGCAGTCTTGTAGCCGTCTTGGGCGATCGGAAGCGAGGGAGAGCGAAAAGACAAAAGTCCGTCAAGCCTCTCATCTCTGGGGCGCGCCAGGTACTTTCCTGGTCCTCGTCCTCCTCCTCCTCCTCTTTCTCTTCTTCTTATTAATCG